TACGGTGCTGGAAAAATGCACCAGCGTCGTCATGAGATGCCTCGATGCCAACCGATTCGCGATAGCTGAGGCCCTCATCATCAAGGATAGGACACCAGCCATCAACCTTCAAACTGCTGGATTTGTCAGAACCTTGAGACTGTTTTTGGAGTGATTTTTGGTGTTTTAAATTCACGATTATCTTCATATTTTTGTGATTTTGTAATTATTTCTAACAATTGATTTGTGAGTAGTATCCTATTTACATGATTTTAAACTTATGTCGATCCAAATTCCATCACTCAATGCGCCTTGTAACTTGATAATGAATGAATGAATGATTGATACATTCGAAACGTAGTTAAATAAATAAAAATGTCCATCGATACGCTGATTGTCGATTTACCAGTTCAAACGAAAAATATTGTTCGATCTATTGAAAAAAAATAATAATAAGAAAATTGCCAATAAAACTAATTCTCTGGTCTGTCGTCCCAGCAGTATTCTTACTGGTTTATAATATAATTGTAAAAAAAAACATTTATCTATAGCTATATTGTTTATACCTATAATATATTAATATTCTAAAGTTTAATACGTTCACTCAACAAAACAACGTTTTATTCAATCTTACACCAACGAAAAATAACGTTTATAATATACAATAAATAATATAATTTTATATAAAATTTAATTGTAAAATATAATTGATTAACAACGTAGTTCAGGACAAGGGAAGCATGAAAATTTAACAGTCTATCAGCCTTTGCAAGCACTTTAATTGCGCGTCCGAATTGTTGTTCAAACTCTTGTGATTGTGTTGCTGAATTTTGATGGTGATGTTCAGCGCCTTGCTTATTGTTTGCATTAATGTTCCAGATATTAATCAGCGCATCGAAATCTCAACGGCTTTGATGTATATGAATCCGGATTTAAGACGACAACTAATGACATTTATTCACGGATAAAATAAATAATTTTATATTTTTGATGTGCTACGTAGATTAAGTTAAATGGTTATTACTCTATTAAAACCTATTAAATTGAAGGTGAATCGGTCTAAATTGAAAATGAAGTACCGTCAGCAGGAGTAAAATGGGCCCTTTATGGATAACATGGGCCCAATGTTAAAAAAGTTTTGTTGTGCGATAGTGTGATTATGTGATGAGTTCTCGACCTAGTTCATGCATCTCTGGATAGTTAGTACTACTGCCCAGTTAGAAATCGCCGCAGTCTGGAAGCCAGCCGCGTGTGAACTTGCCTGCACCAACGCTCGCCCCAGCGCAACGCCAGGGTGGTCAACAGCGCAGGAATGTCCACAGCAGCGCAATATTGTGGCAGCGCTTCTCGGCCTGGAAAGGGCCTGCTGCCGCAGTCAGTCTGTCCTATCGCGAGCGACCAGGCCGGCAGGCACTGCCAGCTTCCGCGCTATCGCGAAGGTGGTTGCCGCGATTGGCGGGACCGCTGCGTAAAATCCCCGCCGGCCAGTGATGGCCGAACGTGAATTCCGTTCCAAAGAAAATCCCCACGCTCTCCACTTAGTCTACTATATATAGCTCCCTTACTTTGTAGAGATGCATATAATAATTGTGGAGGGCATGGGGAATTATATAACAACATACACAGACAATAATATAAAGCGACTTAATATTAATACAGCCATTCTGGGATATCAAGTAGGAACATGTATAACAAATTTTGACGGAAATAAAAGTATTTACATGTTCGGGCCGTTTATTAGAACCTTAAGTGCATATAAAATTTCAAGCTGCGTAACATTTTTTTGGTAAAGCGTAAAGCCTTATACACACGGAGTTTCAGCAGTTGACAGCTCGACATAAATTAAGACAACTATACCAAAACTATTATAACTATATAAGAACAATACATGATGTGGTACGATAATGTAACACCTCCATTATTTTGAAAGTACATGTTCAAGCTTATTCGGGGTTTTTACAACGGCACCAGCTAGAGGATAACAGCATCCCATATAGATTGTGAATGATAAGCGTCATAAAACTTGAGAATCTTAACTCGGGAGGCAGTAGTGATAACGGAAGACGTTAAAAAATAGTTTGGAATTTCTAATAATAGTACTTCACAACTCAATGCATGAAATTATTCATATCAGAACGGAAATTGATAGTAGTTTGAAAAGTTAATTTCAAAAGGTAATAGTATACGACACTCAAAGTTGTATGACGTGTAGGTGAACCGACACTCAAAGCTGTATGACGAGTAGGTGAACCAACACTCATAGTTGTATGACGTGTGGGTGAACCGACACTCAAAGTTGTATGACGTGTAGGTGAACCGACACTCATAGTTGTATGACGTGTAGGTGAACCAACACTCAAAGCTGAATGACGTGTAGGTGAACCAACACTCAAAGCTGTGTGACGTGTATGTGAACCAACACTCAGCGTTGTATGACGTGTGGGTGAACCGACACTCAAAGCTGTATGACGTGTATATGAACCAACACTCAGCGTTGTATGACGTGTGGGTGAACCGACACTCAAAGCTGTATGACGTGTAGGTCTGTCTCTTATACACATCTAGATGTGTATAAGAGACAGGNCCTTCGCTATATCTTTGAGTTTCCCTCTCTCAATCTTTCTGTTTCCCTCGCTCGTTCTTTCTGGTTCCCTCGCTCGACCTTTCTGTTTCCCTCTCTCAATTCTTCTGTTTCCTTCGCTCAATCTTTGAGTTTCCCTCGTTCGATCTTTCTGTTTCCCTCTCTCAATCTTTCTGTTTCCTTCGCTCAATCTTTCTGTTTCCCTCGTTCGATCTTTCTGTTTCCCTCTCTCAATCTTTCTGTTTTCCTTCGCTCAATCTTTGAGTTTCCTTCGCTCAATCCTTCAGTTTCTATCGCTCTGTCTTTAAGTTTCTCTCACTCAATCTCTAAATTTCCCTCATTAAATCTTCTAATTTCCATCGCACAAAATTTGAATTTATCACGCTCACTCTTTGAGTTTCCTTCTCTCAATCATTGAGTTTCCCTTGCTCAATCTTCAAGTTTCTCTTGCTGAATCTTCGAGTTTCCCTCTCTCAATTTTTTATCTTCCCTCGCTCAATCTTCGAGCTTCCCTCTCTCAATTTTTGAATTTCCCTCGCTCAGTCTGAGTGTCCCTTGCTTAATCTATGAGTTTCCCTCGCTCAATTTTTGAGTTTCCCTCGCTCAATCTATGAGTTTTCCTCGCTCAATTTTTGAGTTTCCATTGCTCAATCTATGAGTTTCCATCGTTCAATTTTTGAATTTCCCTCATTCAATTTTTGAGCTTTTCATGCTCAATCTTTGACTTCCACTCTCTCAATCTTTGCCCCCCCTCTTGTACTGCTTTCACGCTTGTCCCATTTAAGAAAAGCATATTTTTTACCCGGCTAATTGCAGCTTTTAGAGTATTTTTTTTTTCACAGTTTTTGTAATAACATTGATCCAGCTGGAGAAATGTGTCGTAAAGAAATGTACGTTTAATGTGTTTTTTTATAAAATTTAATTCCGATCATGAATTTTATTTTTATTTTTAGTTTATGAATCATATTCTTAGTTTTTTACTGTTGCTAAGACACAGTTGAGTGACATCTCGTATATTACAGACGAATCCTGTCCAATACTGTTTCCGTCTGGAGGTGTCAAGCGCCGCTCTGCAGGCTGCAGCCGCTGTACTGCCTCTTGCTGTTCCTGGTCATGCAGGCTCTGCAGGTCATTTACCTAACTATCAATAACTTGCAGGTCACTTACCTAACTTTCAGTAACTTGCAGGTCATTTACTTATTTACTTAACTATCAATAACTTGCAGGTCATTTACCTAACTATCAATAACTTGCAGGTCATTTACCTAACTATCAATAACTTGCAGGTCATTTACCTAACTATCAATAACTTGCAGGTCATTTACCTAATTATCAATAACTTGCAGGCCATTTACCTAACTATCAATAACTTGCAGGTCATTTACTTAACTATCAATAACTTGCAGGTCATTTACCTAACTATCAATAGCTTGCAGATCATTTACCTAACTTTCAATAACTTGCAGGTCATTTACCTAACTTTCAATAACTTGCAGGTCATTTGCCTAACTATCAAAAACTTGCAGGTCATTTACTTAACTTTCAATAACTTGCAGGTCATTTACCTAACTTTCAATAACTTGCAGGTCATTTGCCTAACTTTCAATAACTTGCAAGTCATTTACCTAACTTTCAATAACTTGCAGGTCATTTACATAACTTTCAATAACTTGCAGGTCATTTACCTAACTTTCAATAACTTGCAGGTCATTTACCTAACTTTCAATAACTTACCAAAAGTGCGTCGTGCCTTTAGACCATTGCAGGAAATATATGCTGAGGAGTACACTTCTGTCATTTAAATTTTTCTGAATGCATGAGACTGTGGAAAAATAGTTAGTGCTCTCAATTAAGTATGTGTGAAATTATTTATGCATTATCCATTTATGTCCAAAAAAAATTTGCTTTGGCCTATCTAAATATTAATTTGTCCTTATCGGGACACAAGTTTTATAAAGAATAAGAATTTACTATGGAAGTTTGTCTAAGCCTTACATTGAATTTCTAAGCCCCCTTGACGAATAAATAACCGAGAGGCGGTTATCAGAAATATCCGAAATTAATTTTCAAAATAATTTTTTTAAATTAGTCTAGGAGCATCCAAGGCGTATTCAGTCATGCTACCAAGCTTAATTAACATATGGATTCTAACAAAACTTGGCAGTCATCTTATCTGAAAACTTGAACTCAGTCCCCTGCGACAAAATTTATACACTTCACAGATTTTGAATAGATGTTCTTGCCTGAACTGATATTGGATTGTTTAGATTTACTGTCATGCTGTCTATAATATCACTCCATTTACCACAAATGATAAGGCAAGCAACGCATGAAAGTGTTTTGCAAATATTGGAAAGCTGCACGTACAATACATTGTTTTCTCAGCACATGTCACAAAACTGACATGACTTTCAGACAATGTTTTGACGGCGGTCGTGTCAGACGTTTAATTATTGCGATGTTGTTGCTGGTGTTGGCAAGCACTCTGCTCTACTTCAGCTCAGCTCCTACGGATTTCTTAAAATCCTGCTGCACTCCGTCAGTCGAGACAATCAGTGAACAGCCTCATACAAAGGTGCGGTTCCATGTACGATTCTTCCCTTCTTAAGCTTGATAAGTATCATTTTTTCAGCCTTGACTAAAATCCCCCTCTATGACTTTGGTTGTCTGGTGTTAGCGTCGTTCTATAGAAAAAGGGGCGCCTGTCGGAGACCACAACTGCCGTGCAGCGAATGGACTATCATGATCCTTTCCCTCAAGAACGTAGCCTACAACACTTCTTGACTGTAACATTATCAGCCGCAAGCCACCAGACAGATCACATCCATTAAATTAGATCAATCAGCCCACGGGAAAGTAGCCTGACGTAGAATGGCCCAGTATCGTCGGCTAATACGCGAAAAAAAATTACACTACCCGGTCGGAGCGCGCCGGAGCCATCCGTATCTGTCCCGCGTGTCGAATCAGCCTACGGTCGAACGGCCACGCGTCGTACGACGATAACGATAAATTTTGGAACAAAACTATGCTATCCGAAACCTACCCACAGATGCTGTGAGCTAAAAGTAACGTAATTTAGCGAAGCTGCGGAAGTCGCTCGCCGACAGACGATAGATTTTGGAACTGAACTATGCTTTCTGAAACCTAACCCCGGATGAGGAACAGAACTATGCTTTCTGAAACCTAACCCCGGATGTTGTGAGCTAAAATTGACCAGCTGGTGGTGCACGGCAGGATGCATGCAGTTCCACTGGCGAGCTGGGCTGGTTGGTCGCAGTCCGTTTTCCGCTAGTTACAGTTCGAGCTAAGTCAGGGTAAGAAGTGATGATTCGATGCAACGTTCAGAATATGGCGTTCAGAATATGGTGGCGCAAAGCTCCAAATATTGAAGCAAGATGATGTCAAGGGCTGGTTACTGACGGCAGGATTAATACGCGGCTGATAGGTGGTCATCCTGAAATTGGCTAGGCGTTACTTTCAGGGCTGATTGGTGCACAAATTGGGTGGTGCACGGCTGCGTTTTCTAGAAAAGCGTCATTAGAGGGTGAGGGCGCTGCTGCAGGCCAGCTTTGCTTTAAATTCACACCAGGTTCATATTCATATCCGTGGCTAAGCAAGCTAGAAGGCATAACCGCCTATGAAGTCAATTCATTTGCTTCATAGCTCATAGTCAATTCATTTGCTTCAATTGCTCAAAGCCATATCGCCTTATGTCCTCATCCACTGCTTAAGCATGCTAAAGCTAATGGGACGCGTCTCGGAGACCACCACTGCCGTGCTTCGAATGAACTATCCACTATCATGATCCCTTCCCTCAAGAACGTAGCCTACAACACTTCTTGACTGGAACATTATCAGCCGCAAGCCACCAGACAGTTCACATCCATTGAATTATATCAATCAGCCCACAGGAAAGTAGCCTGACGTAGAATGGCCCAGCATCTTCTGCCAATACGCGAAAAAATTTACACCACCTGGGCAGAGCGCGCCGGAGCCTTGCAGTTAATATGATGTCCGCCTCCGACCCGTCCATATCTCTCTCATGTGTCGAATCAACCTACGGTCGAACGGCCACGCGTCATGGGACTTCACCCCAGATGCTGTGAGCTAAAAGTTACGTAATATAACGAAGCATCGGAAGTCATTCGTGATGATTCGATGCGACGTTCAGTGTTGGACAACCATTACTCTCTGGGCTATTCGCTTCAAAATATGGTGGCAAAGCTCCTAATATTTAAAGCAAAATGATGTCATGGGCTGGTTACTGACGGATGGCTTAACCCGCGGCTGATTGGTGGTCATCTTGAAATATGTTAAGCGTTCCTTTCAAGGCTGATTGGTGCACAAATTTGGTGGTGCCCGGCTTCGTTCCCAAGTTAATCATGGTCATACGGCATCTTGCCAAATCTACTCCGGCCCAACCTCTTCTGGCCTAACATATTCGCCCTGCGTTCCCTTGTTTCACAACTTTCTTCCAGGCAATGACTGGCTCTTCCTACAGTTTTATCCAGCCTCTCTAACTTTATGAAATTAAGGGCTTTCTGACACGATCATTTTATGTTAAGGAACAAAACTCGGATCGCGGCAGTGATAAGAATGCTCTCTCGCCATCAAGCGATACTCTCGGTGACCAGACAGCAAGACTCAAGAACGTCAATAACAACAGCAACCACACCATATACACTCAAATCACTAGCATAAATGGCATGGACAATCAACGCAGCATCAACAGTAGTGAAAGCCCTAAATCTGAAGGAGACTTAGATAAAATAAGCAATAACAAGTTGAGCAACATGACAGGCGAGAAGGCAAACTTGAGCTCAGTGAGCGGTGAGCCGTTGCACTGCCCAACTATGCCTCCAAACCTTGGTGAGTGTTAGGACTGTCGAAAACTCTTGACAATTTTAATGTTCTAGTCGGTTATTCTATTAATCCATCCATCAAACCGCTATTTCGCTTTTTACTGACAAATATATGTATAGCCTTCTAGTCAAACCAAGAGGGTGAAGCTTCCAGAATATTCAACAAACGGATAGACAGAAAGGAGTTGGAAATGTTAAATAATTGTTCGTTGTTGATTTTCAGGTTTACTATTATACCGAAGCCAGTTTCTTAGATACTAAAATTTTATAAATACTATAAATACCATTTCCAAAACCATATCGAATACTAATAGCTACCTATTGCAAGTTGCAAGAGAAGAGTGCAACAATTCGGGACAATTAACAACGTACAGAGAACAGCAAGTCGCCTCCGGCTTGCCAATTTTTATGACCCATGCAGAGCAGAGGCGAGAGCAGAGCATTCGCCACAATAACAAAGAAATTCACTCTAGAAGAAACTAAACCTCCAAACTAAAATAATTACATACATTTGAATTACATGGAGCAGTTAGTGAAGGCATTCTTGATGAAACCTGACCAAATGAAGTGCGGTCTGATCTGAACGGCCGGATGATTTCGAAATACTTAAAACGAATAAATTTAGGAATTAGAGTGTTGATGACGTTACAAGACTTGGAATATTGATTAAGAGCTTCGATAATGAGGTAAACCATTAAATAAATTCGAAGTAGGCATTTTGATATTCTAGGGACAAGAATTGAGGTGTAAATGTTAAATGACAAGAGATTTAAACACAAAATGACTTTGTTGAAGTCAGGATTGCAGCTTTCACTGAATGGCACGCTCAGACAAATGAACGAGACTTAATCCGAAAAGCAATGCATTTTTTGCCCTGTCTGGGACACTCACTCTTAATTTGCCCCCCAATAAATGGTCGTATCAGGGCTACGTGGGTAAAGTGTCTCACTATTTGGACAACATGACTTATTCATTTTTCTGAATTCAGAAGGACCAGTCGCTGTGAACACTTCTTCAGCCGATCTTGCGGCCGAGCAGCGGCGGCACCCCGAGCTGCTGCCTGGGGGCCGTTGGCGGCCAGCACAGTGCCGGGCACGGCAGAAGGTGGCCGTCATCGTACCATACAGGTTGAAGATTAGCCTTCATACTAAGATTATCATATGAATAAACATAATAATATAAATGGTTGATTGCGGTTTCAGAAATGTTTTTCGACAGTAAAAATTGGTCACTAACTAACGTTACTGGTGTTAGTCTATTTACTTGATCGCGAAATTTAATAAATGGCTTGTCCCATTTACTAAAATCGAATCGTAAGGTAATCGGGAATTTTCGCTCGTTTTCTATTTTTATTAATTCGTTTATTTAATTATTGTTTTATTATTTTTTTTTAAGCTGTGCACTTTCTTCTCATTTGCGAGCAGTAACTTTTCCCTTATCTTCTTAACCTTATTAAGAAATGTCACAGCTCGTGTTTTGACTTTCGGGTCCCTGTTCGGGCGCCACTGTCACAGCTCGTGTTTTGACTTTAAGCTATGCTATCAGATTATTGGTTCAGGGTTCTTAGAAGAGGCCTAGTCTTGACAGCCAAGGGGACTGAAAGACAGAGTTGACTTTAAGTGAACTATATTATATTACGGAACGCGTGACAAAGCGGGGTGACTATATTAGCTAGACTCCTGCGTCTCGAAATAATTTTCTCGAAATGAACCGGGACAGACGAAACGAGACGAGAAAATTCCGGGAAAAAAATAACGGGACAGAGGGTAAAATTTGTCCCGGAATAAACGTATGAACCGAGACAAGACTTCTGTCCCGGACTTTAAAACTTGTGTCCCGGTAAATTATGAACCGGGACGAGACAGACAGATTTGAAACGAGACATAACGAGCCGAGACGAGATTTGTCTTAATTATTTGAGACAAAACAAGTTTTTCGATTACGATACGAATCATTTTGAAAACATGAGTTGAAGAATGACAAGTTAGCCCTTTATTGCTAATAGGGACATAGACAGTTACAAGGTAAATTGAGTTAATTGCAGATTTAACATAACATAAC